ATCCTTGTTTGTTCCCAATCTTAGGGGACAAGCACAGTCTTTTGCCATGAAGTATGATGTTAGCTGTATGTTTTTGTAGCTGCCCTTTAGCAGGTGAAGTTTTCTCTAAGTTTTTTGTGGTGAAAGATATGTCTCTGTCTCTCTATGTGCCCCTCTATGTCTCTGTCCTCATTCCTTATCTCTCTCCGTGTCTCTCTGTGTCTCTCTTTCTCTGTCTCTCTGTGTCTCTTGCTTTTCCTCACCCAAGGGGGTGTGGCCATGGGAAGTTGAATTTAAGGGGTGGCACCAGTGTCCCAGTTCCGGGCAAGGCCACCTCCATAAACACAGGACATCCTGCAGAGCTGGGGAAGGAGGTGGGAGGCTCTCCTCAGGGACCACCCTCTCCCCACCCAGTCTGAGACAAGCAGGAGCCAGGTCCTACCCAGTGCAGCCCAGGGAAACTGCTGTCTTCCTCACCCCCGTCCTTTAGGCCTGCTCCTGCCCCCTGCCCTCTCTACTGAGCTCCAGTTCCAGGGGCCCAGCCACCTGGATGCCTGCCCCTGGGTGTCCTCACAGACCCCTGCACCCACTGTGTCCCCCTCTGGCCTCAGTGTCAACCCCAGACCTGCTCCCCCTCTGGGTCACCATCCCAGGGTGGCCCCACCATCCCCAAGTCCCTTGGCTAGAGTCCTGGGTCTCATCCTAGGCCCCTCCTCTATTGCAGCTCATCACCCCCACAGCCTGTCCTCTCTAGCATCTCTCCCCTCCCCTCCCCTCCCGTCTCCTCTCCAAGGCTTCTCTGTCCCTCCGCGGCCTCCCTCCCCTCTGGACTCCTGGCCCCCAGTCTCACCTCCCACCAATGGCAGCCAGAGAGATCCATTTGCTTCCAGATTCCTTTACCCTAGTACCTTCAGAGTAAAGTTCCCCCATCCAGGGCCTTGTGTGCCCTGGTCCCTGCCAACCCCTCCAGCTCCATCACTTACCTTACCACTTTTCCCCTGTTTCCAATCAAATCCAGCAGATTACAGATTCCTGAAAAGATTGTAGGGTCCCTCACTCCCTAACCCTTGCACATCCCTCTGCCTAGAACACTCTCCCCTCAGAACAACAGCCCTTTGAGGTAGGTACTCTTACTGCCCCAGCTTACAGATGAGGACCCTGAGGCCCAGAGAAGTCGAGAACCTTGCCTAGGGTCACACAGCCACAGAACAGCAAAGCAGAAGTTCAAACACAGGTGGCCTGGCTTTCAACACAGTACGGCTTATTGAGTCAATAATCATTGACTGGACTTCCCTGGTGGCACAGTGGTTAAGAGTCTGCCTGCCAAGGCAGGGGACACGGGTTTGATCCCTGGTTTGGGAAGATCCCACATGCCACGGGCATGTGGCAACTGAGCCCATGTGCCACAACCACTGAGCCTACGCACCACAAATACTGAAGCCCATGTGCTCTAGGGCCCACGTGCCGCAACTACTGAGACCACGTGCTGCAACTACCGAAGGCTGTGTGCCTAGAGCCTGTGCTCCGCAACAAGAGAAGCCACCGCAGTGAGGAGCCCGTGCACCTCAACGAAGAGTAGCTCCCACTCACCACAACTAGAGAAAGTCCACGCGCAGCAACCAAGACCCAGTGCAGCCAAAATAATCATCATCATCATTATCATTGACTAAGCATCGTTAGATCTCCACACTGGGACTGCAAACCGTAGGTGTCCAGTAAATGCTCATTGAATGAGTGAATGGGACAGGGGCAGAAGGTGAGCCTTGGACGGTACAGGGTTCAGACTCCCCCCAAGGACCGGGATACATTCTGAGGGGCCCAGAGCAGGGGAGAGATGTGGTCAGATTTGCCTTTTACATAGGGCCAGGCACACAGTAGGGTAGGTACCCATGAATCTTTGCTGAATGAGGGAAGGGAAGGAGGGGAGGGAGAAGGAGACCAAGGCCAGCTGTCCCAGGTGCTGGAGGAAAGAAGTGTATGTGTGTGATGGGGGTCCCGGTGAATGCCCATGGAGGGGAGCTGGCCTGGGGAGTGTCGCGGTGGGAGCACACAGAGGCTCTGTGAAAAGCAGCCCCAGCTCCAGGGCTGGTGGCTCCATTAGGAATGGTGTGGGCCCTGGAATCTGCTGGCCGAGGTAGCGTGGCCTCCTGGGGTTGAGCCTGAGGGCGGAGGGGCACACCAGAGCCAGGGAGCTGCACAATCGTCCAGGGGTCAGACATGGGGAGAGTAGGGCAGGTCTTCAGGCACAAGCTGTCATAAACCGAGGGCACCAGGGAGATGGGACCAGGGCTGATCTAGCCCATATGCCGCTTTTGTGCAAAAGGCACACCCCTTCCCCAAGGCACTTGACCTCCATCTGCTGAGAAACTGCCTTAATAAATATGTAAATGCATGGTGTGTGAGATAAATATGGAGCCTATGTGCAGTGCACAACCGGAGAAACTGTACACAGAGACTCTGCCGAGAGGGGAGCAACGCTTGCCAAACAGGCACAGGGGCAGATGGGACCATCGTTGACAGATGGGTAGGCTGTCTGCATCAATAGGTATCACAGGGACTTCCCTGGTGGCGCAAGTGGTTAAGAATCTGCCGGCCAATGCAGGGGACACAGGATAGAGCCCTAGTCCGGGAAGATCCCACATGCCACAGAACAACTAAGCCCATGTGCCACCACTACTGAGCCTGCGCTCTAGAGCCCTCAAGCCACAACAACTGAGCCCGCAATGCCACAACTACTGAAGCCCATGTGCCTAGAGCCTGTGCTCCGCAACAAGAGAAGCCACCGCAATGAGAAGCCTGCGCACCCCGATGACGAATAGCCCCCGTTCGCCGCAACTAGAGAAAGCTTATGCGCCGCAAGGAAGACCCAACACGCAGCCAAAAAAAAAAAAAAAATAGAAGTAGGTATCACAGATTATCCCCCAGTTTGGCACCCAGAGACATCAGAAATAGGTCCTCAGGGTGTTGTAAACAGAACGCATTGCTGACCCCACACTGGGGACTCCTTGACCACTGGTCAGGTCTCCAGGGAATCTAAGGCAGTGGCAGGACAGACCCCCAGACTGGGCACCAGGGGGCATTGCTGAGCTCAGCCTAAATTCCCAAGGTCTGGGTCTGGGTTAAAACCGAGTTTGAGGGCTTCCCTGGTGGCGCAGTGGTTGAGAGTCTGCCTGCCGATGCAGGGTACACGGGTTCGTGCCCCGGTCCTGGAAGATCCCACATGCTGCAGAGTGGCTAGGCCTGTGAGCCATGGCCGCTGAGCCTACGCGTCTGGAGCCTGTGCTCCACAACGGGAGAGGCCACAACAGTGAGAGGCCCGCGTACCACACACACACACACACACACAAAAACCGAGTTTGAGTCCTATTGGCCAGGGGCTGGAGTCACCAGGTGTTGGAGTCAGGCACCCGGAGGATCCTCAGCCTGGGCACCAGCTCCCTTTGGGCCATTTCCACTCCCCACCCGGGGCCATCCCATCCACTTCCAAAAATGGGCACGACTTCCTCCGGTCCTCCAGGAAGCTCCACTCTGCCCGCCCCTTCCAGGCCCGAGTGGCCGGCCGAAGCAGCCTGCCTCTCTCCCTCCCCTGTCCCCCCTCCCTTCCCAACCCCCCCGTTTCCACCCCAGCTTCAGCCTCCCTGAAGCTTCCGGCCAGAGTGGAGGCACCCGAGCCCCACGATTTTAGTGTCCCTTAGCCGGGGCTTCCCGCATTCGGAGTGCAGCCAGCCCCTCAGGTCACCGTCCGACCCTCTGCCCCTCCCCCCAACCCACCTCCACCCTGCCCAGATGCAGCTTTCATCGTGCCCCTCCCCCCGTCCCGTACCCCGGGCGCTGCCCTGCCCCCACGGCCGCCAGGAAGGACGCTGCCTGGGTCCCGTGCCAGGCCTCTGAGTGTGCGGGCCCCTCCCAGCGGGGCCAGGAATGCAGCTGGACGGCGGGGGCGGCGCAGACACCCGGCGCTCAGGCCAACCCTATCACACAGGCTGTCAGGCAGGTGGCCCCAGGTAGAAGGAAAGCAGGATCGCCTGCCGTTCTGTCAAGCCACCACACTTGGTGACTTTATTTCGGAATCAGCTTCCGAGCTGCCTTATCCCTTGCCCAAAGAGAGATTTGAGACCCAGAGTGGATTTTATTTAAAACTTGCTGGAGTCTCCCTTTCTTTCAGTGTTTTCCTGGAGAGCTGGCTCGAGCGCTCCAAGGACAGGATCCACCCAGCCTTTAGCTTTGTGCTTTTCTGGCTCATTCTGAAAGCTCCCATCTGCCCCCTCCCCAGCCCCCAAGACACACAGGTGGACTCCAGGCAAGGACTAGATTTCATTTTTAAATAGTGGCCCGGGGCTCCTCCTCCACCACCATGTACACACACAGCCACATCAGGGAGACCTGGCTCAGTATACTCCAGGAGTTTTCCAGAGGGCCAGTTACCAGACCTAACTGGTCTGCTTCTCAGACCAAAAAGCAGTAAAGTTTGAAACCTATCTCCTCAAGTGATGACTTCTTGGAGCCTCAGTTTTCTCAACTGTAAAATGGGGCTAATAACATGCCCATCTTGTTATGAGGATTAAATCAGTTAACACATGTCAAGTGCTTAGAACTGTGCTGGGTGTCCACGGCTCAATAAATGTTAGAGGTTATTTTATCACCCTCGCCTTAGCCCAGAAATAAAGCAATACACAGACTTGAGACTTCCCACGACTGGCTTTAATTTCAAAAAAACTGGTTGGGGTCTTTTCCCACATCAGGGAAAG